TCATCTGGCTCAGTACAGGATTTGCTGTTGGCTGTTAATGAACCCTGATTCCCAGAAGAAGCAGCAGTCCCTGGACATGAGAAGACACCACCATTTGACCCTGTGCATTACCCATGTACTTAATGTACCTCACTGCAGATATGCCCTAAACAAAGAGTCAAGTTATAAAAATTAAAAAGCTTCTATGCTGACTACTGACAGAGCTGATCCATGCCAAGGTTTTATATCACAGATAAGCAGTGTATGAGGCACTTGTCCTCCTATTAGAATGTGAATCTATTAATATGATGCAAGTGACATTTAGGGAAATGAAAAGCCCATTATTCCATAGGGGTATCACTAAAGATAGCCTCTCCTGAGGTTGCTCAATGGCAAAGTTTGTAAGTGGATTAGTAGGAAGCATGGAGAGAATGAATGAACTTCAGTGACTGCTCCTTATAATGACTTCAGGTAATTAAAAAGACCAGAGCTATCTGGAGAATTCTGCACCTAATAGTGGTCTAACAGTATTTTAAAAACATCTAACGATGGAGTTAATTGAGCTTTAGAATTCATTTAGCTGGTCCTTGCATTAACAAGTAGCTTTTATGTGATGGAGGAATTAGAAGTTAAATATTGTCTCAATAAGACTTCAAAGATGTTTCCTATTTTCTGTGTTGGCCATTATTAAATAGTAAAGTTTATGCAAATTATAGTGCCAAAGCCTTTTCAGTATGGGAAAATGTTACCCTGAAAACTCATTAGCTTTCAGCCACCATGTCCACAATAAAGTACAAGACAAAATGGGTGCTGAAGGCAGTGTTACAAGCTGAGTGCCAATCCAGGCACTAAGAGGACATAATCACGTTCAGGATGGCATTGCCATTCGCTGCCTTCTCCTGGGAGCTTGGTGAAGAATGAGGGGAGGCACAGTATTCACTGGTTGTCCAAATAGCAGAAGGTTTTATTTTTAACCTGGGTCTCAGTAGAACTGCATTCTCTACGTGTAAATGTTTAAAGTGGAGAGGTCAGCTGAACAGATGAGGATCTGATTTTCTTGGATGGGATTTAGTTCATTTAACTGCTATATTCCTATATCTTGGGAGTGTAATGAAGCAGACCTTTCTGAGGAAGTTCCTAAGTTCCTTAGATAGTCAAAATAAGAAAGAGAAATGTCTTTAAGGACACCTGAGATGGTCATGTACACCTAACTCCTGAACTCAAACTTGTAAGAACTCTCTCTGGAAGTTTTTACAGTCGCTGGTTGCTTACTCCACCATGAATGACTCTGAGCAGGTACAGGAAATCATATCAAGAACCATCAAATCAGTAATAATAACAACAATAACATGTAATATTCCATATTTTTCTGTGTTGTAAAAAAAGCTATTAAAAGCTATCCACTACAGCCATGCTGTCTCATAGACAGCCTAGTAAGCAGCAGGAAGCACACTGAACCCTGGAGGCCCAATCACACTAAGTATCAGTCAAGCTACATCTTCATGATGTGCTCTTTCCAGAACCTTAGACCAATCCAAGTCCCTCAACGTGTTGCTCTGACTCCAAGGAAAAGTCAGCATTTATCTGACTGCAACTGCATATAAAAAAAATAATAATAAAAAAAAGTGGCTCCATTTGTTACTTTTTTTAAAAATTATTATTCTCACCATCTCAAGATTCCATGCATTTTTTTTTCTGCTTTACTGTCATTTTTCTTTCAAAACTTGTCTGAAAATATCTGTCTTCCCACTTCTCTGTTTAATACTCCTGGTATGCTTTACCATTGCAAAACATTTTGAAACGCATTTTGCATGAAAGACACTGACCTGAGGAAGGGCCAACTCACACTGTGCTGTTTGCATAGAGAGCATGAAGGAGGAAGAGCAATAAAAGAGCAACTTAATTACTTTGGAGCTGCGGTGCTTCCTGCTGCCACAGCCTCTGCATGAGGTCCTGACGCAGCCACCAGTGCTGGTGAGAGGGGCCTGATCTTGCTGACAGCTCTGGTGCAGCTTTACCCAAGGTCACTGAGCAGATCACAGCAAATTAACAAGTCACAAAGAGTGGCAGGACATCAGTGATTAACCCTGATGTAGTGCAGGCTAAAAAACTTACAGAAGCAGCAGTGACCTCCAAAAAGCACAAAAGCCTTTCTGCCCTGTTCCTCTTTCTGCCCTGCTCTGTCTCTTCTGCTGAACAAACCATAACCTCTTCTAGCAGCGCTGTGCACCTCCCCTTGAGAGGTGCTTTACCCAGGAAAAGAATGAAAAACCAGAGCACGGCTGCAAAAAATAATTCTCACTTCTTGCCTAAGTACATGTATCTCTTGTACCTGAACAAGCTAGGATGATATGACCTAGCCTACACTGCACATGTTGAGATTGTGAGACACAGTGGATAGATCTGGATCTGACTTCTTACTTTCTTCCAGAGCCAAGGATTACCAGTGACTATGCCTGATGCTGTGGGGTAAGTACATTCATCAGTAGGAAGCACTTAGGAATTTTCTCATTCTTCAGTAGATTAAGCTTTGAGCAAAAATCTACAAAAGTAATACAAGTCCAAGCAATCATAGCTTGTTTCCTTTAGAAAGCACTGGGTTTTTTCTGGCCAGTCCTAGCAACAACATGCTTGGCTTAGCAGCCACTTCAGCTCTGTTGCATTTGCCTTTCCTTCTGTTCTTCTCCCTGCTTGACCTTAGGAAAATTCTTGCTGTCTGTCCCAGGTTGCAATTCCACTGCTGGAATAATTGAGCTATAACAGAAACCTTTCCACTGACTTCTTTATTTTTTTCAAGATTCAAACATTTTTCTTTACCGCTTTTGGCTCTCTTATTTCCTTAGAATTTTGTACCTGGGAACTTATCTATATGCAAAACCAATGTTGAGAACTTCAATGCACCATCTGTCTCTGTTTATATCCAGTGACATCCCAGACACAGGGCTTGTACCAGAAAGTCTCTGCCACTAGTCTGAGTATACAAATAAGAAAGGTTATAGCAAGTTCTCTGTATATTTTTCAAAATGGTTCCAGCAGGATTTTTCACCTCTAATCTAACCATTGCCAGTACTGTAGTAAGTGTCTACAACATTTCTTTCCCCACAGTTCCAACAGGCTTTGTGTGCTGTTTCCACAGAAGTTAATGTAATAAGCAAGTTCACTGTCAAATATGCCCTTTTCTGCAGTAACTACAAGTTGAAGTGAGAGAGTGGTCTGCTTCCAGGTTAGGAATATCATTGCACTAGCTGATACTCTATTCTTTTTTTGTTCATATGCCATGCATGTGACTTACTTTCCACTCTGAAAAGCCAAACATAAAAAACCCAAAAAGAAAAACAAAAAACCACCCAAAACCCACAAAAACATTGATTTCCTTTTTCACAGGTGAAATAAGGAGCATTTTTGCCACTTGAAAGCCAAACCCACCTATTGTATGCCTCTGCACTCACTGGTTATTATCAAGGAGAAATATGGCTCATCCTTGGGAATGATTATTCCTTTAAGCTTTGTCTTTTTCCTTCTTATTCATATGTCTTATTCCTCCAGGACTGACTGTTTCATGACATTCCAAGTTACTCTTCTACTGAAACTGTGTAGACTGTATCAGAGCACGTCTCACAGAAGTGCCTCTGCAGCACTTTATGGACTGCACAGCTCCCTAAGAGCAATTCAAAATGAAGAACAACCTTTTCCAGCATCCTTTCAGAACTGCACATGGACATTAGCCAGACACAAGACGGAGCTGCAGAGGGTGCATTAAACTCCCCATCTGCTCTTCACAGTGCTCATCGCTGGTGTCTAACCCACAGTAAAGTCATTTGGCCAAAAAAAGCCATAGTGGATGAGACAAGTGTACCAGAAGCCAGATGAACCTTTCCTTCCTCAGTGTCCATGAGAGGAAATGTGTCTAACTCAGCCAACGTATTCTCAGTATTTCATTCCAGAGCATGTGATATCTGTAGGTAAGTCATTCTCCAAATGTACTAGGGAAAACAGGTTTTCTTCTCATTTACACTACCTTATTATCTCAGTTGATCTTAGCACAATTATTAATTCACTTCAGTGCACATGATGTCAGAGTATCCCTGAGGGTCTCAGCAGACGGACGAAAACTTGGCAGAGTTTTCGAAAGTCATCTGCAAGTTTCCACTCTCTAGGAAACCTCTTTTCTAACCCACTCCTTCGCTAGGTCCCCGTTACGGTTCCCGATCTGACCCCTTTGCAGACTCTCTGAAGGAGCCCGCATTTCCCACCGGCAGCTCTGCCCGGTGGGATACGAACTTAATATGGGATTGTTTTTTTTAAGGGACCAGCCCCGGCTCGTTTCAGGGGTGTATGCTGCGCGACAGCCGTGGGACGGTAAGAGCCAGGTGTCTGTGGGGGTTTGTACGATGCCCGTGACTTCCATCCCCTACTGCCGGTGAGGGGGGGGCTGGCCCCACTTGCAGGTGAGGGCAGCGCCCCTCCCGGGCTCTCACCGAGGGTGCGTTCGGCCCGCCCCAGGCCCTGGCCCAGCACAGACCGGCCCGTCCGGGGCGCTGGGGCCGCCCCGCCCGCCGCGGCCCCGCAGCCCTGCCCGGGAGCGGCGGGGACGGGCGAGGGGCGGGCCGGGGGCGGCGCTGCCTCCGCGGCCGTGCGGGACGGCGGCGGGGCCGGGGCTGGAGCCGCGCCGGGGAGCGGGGACCAAGAGCGGAGCTGCCCCAGCGGGGCGGCTGCGGGGAGGGAGGTGCCGGGCTGCCGGTTGTGCCTGAACCGGAGCATCCCGAGCCGGAGCGTCCCGAGCCGGATTGTCCCGAGCCGGAGCATCCCGAGCCGGAGCATCCCGGCGGCGTCGGCCGTCTGCTTTCGAGGGAGGTCGACGCTGCGGGTGTGGGGTGTTTTCTTCCTCCCCTGCCCCTCGGCCGGTGCGCGTTGTTGGTGCTCTCGGTGCGAGGCGGCCGAGCCGCCCGGTGGCCGAGCGCTGCTGCTCGCCCGTTCCCGGCGCCGGGGCCGCTCGCTCCCGCTGTCCGGCGCCGTGCCGCGCCGGCTGAGGCGGGTCCCGCCGCGTCCCCGGAGGGGTTGGGAAGCTGCTGAGCGGCCTGGAACAGCTCCCGCCGTGCCTCGTCCTTGGTGCTGCTCCGAGGGAGCATCCTCAGCGGTTTGCCCGTCTTGTGCTGTAACCAAGGGCATTTGATTTTCACAAGCGTTTAAGCGAGGTATGTGTTTTGTGGCCTGTGCTTGATCTTTCACAAACGTCTTTTGGAAAGAACCTGTATTGAGCCTAACTCACTTCGCGGGTTGGCAGAGTGCTTGAATTGAACGAACGCTTCTTGGGTCTGAGAAATTGCTTTCGGCGGAAGCAAAAAGGGGAACGCTCTGGGAGAGCGTGGGGACAGCGCGGGGCTGCACAGCTTCTGGAAGGAGGGATGTGGAGAGAAGGGAGGCACGGGCTGGTGTCTTTTGCTGAAAGATGCTGCAGCCCAGGGCTGTGATACCGCAGACCATTGGGTCATCACTGTGCAAGCAAATTCTTGGCTCAGCGGGCATGAGCACAGACTGCCACCCGTGTGCTCTTTCACATTGTTTGCAGAAAGATGACGGGGAGAGGATTGCTCCCTCTGCAAATAAATTGTAACGTGCCTGTCCAATGTAGTGTGAGAAGAGCTGAGCTCAGACAGCACAGCATGGAAAAAAAACAGAGGATGAGTGCACAGAAATGTGCCATTTGCAAGCGCTTAAAAGCTGCAGGCTGTTTCAACATCACCTTGGTAGATGTAATAAAGTTTGAAACAGAAATCAAGTGAAGCAAATTCTTCCTACCCTTGCAGATAGAGGGAAATTGTGAAAATTGTGGTAAAGGGCTGAGAATTTGCCATGCCGATCGATTAACATTTATATAAGCAAAGACAATTAGGAATGCATACTAGCTATTATTAAATTAATTCTTAACAGAATTAATTCTTAGCAGAATGGGAGAAAGGTGAATAGGAGAAATGTGTAAAATCTGGACCATATAACATGCATAGAGTGCTGGCAGTTTTATTATGATAAGGGATCCAGCTGGAGTGTCATGTCCGTTTCCTTGTAATTTTACTTTTTACAGTAATTTTGAACCCACTCTTTAACTTTCCTGTGCCTGAGCAGACCGAAACAAAAGGCAACCTGAAACCACCAGCTGCCTTCTCTCTGCTATTACGGCTAGAAGGGCTCACTCCCCTTAGGGATGGTTTCTGGTTGTCATGTTTCCCCAGCTTTCCTGTGCTCTGGCACACAGGCCGACCTGCCTGCAGGCTGCTACTTGCTATATCCAGTATGTGTGCTTTGCTGTCAACAGGATACATCCTGCAGGACCTGGAACTGCTGGGGAAGGGGTGTTGGGCTACTCAGCATCCAGGTCTAATCTAGTACTATCACCATGTATGTATGTGAATATATTTGGCTTAGGAAGTTACTGCCATGGGCATTTTTTCAACCTTTTCAGCTGTAAAAGGCTGAACTGGGATAACTCACCTCAGCCAAGTGTCTTTGTTCATGATTGGGTCTTACTGGGGCAGTGCAAATTTTAAGTTGTATTCTGTAAATTCCCCATCAGAGGCAGGAAGCAACGGATGCAAGATTCCTCCTTGCACCCCATCTACACAGAAGCAGAAGAGGAATTATCTCAACGACAGAGTACATTCAGAAGATGCTGAAAAATGTGGTGTTTCTGATAGGTCTGAGACTTGGAATCTAAATACTAAAAAGTCAGTATGTTTTCACCTCTACCTCCTGCACTCTTTTGCAAGCAGTCCTCCCCCTGTGTCTTCATGACTGCGGTTGCCTCCTTTTCCTGGCTTGCACAGAGGAAATCCTGTTACAACACAGTCGATCCATGGCGCTGCTGCAAAACCCATCTCTTAGCCTGCCACTTCATCTGCATCTCCCCTCTTTGTCAGTCTTTCTGCTGCTCCCCCTTTCCTCCTGCATTGGACACGTCAGTCTGAGGTTTTTCTTTCAAGTGTCCTTGACAGTCACCCTGTACATGATGTACCAAGTCTCCTGTTTTCCCAAGATTTACCCCTGGGTTTTGATCAGACTGTGCTCTCAGCATCTTTCTCCCTCACGCCATCATCTTTGCATTCCTCCAAGCTTCACCTTGTGCTTACTTGTAGCTTCATATAGGCACTTTGTCCATCACTTATTTTATTTCCTTGAAATGTCCCAGCACATTTGCTTTGGTTTGATGCCTTCAGCAGCTGTTTGGTGAGATGCTAAGACAATCCCTTACCTGTGCTGTCACCATCCCTGCCACTGGAATTACTCTGCACTGGAGCACAACAGTGTCCCCTAAAGCTAGGGCATCTGAGAGGCAGGTGTTGAACAGATCACTCCATCTAGCACCAGCAGAAACTCTCTTTCCATAGCCTACATTATCCTCACTTGCTCTTTTTGGCATTTCAGGTGCAACCCTGCCCCCTTATGCTTGCACAGCACAGCGTGGCTCGCTGCAGCTCCCTTTGCAATCGTGTTGTCTCTTTGCCTAAGTTGTTGCAGGCTGTTTGGCAAACAGGGACAATATGTGAGTATTAGGCACACAGATATGCCATGGTTCCTTTGTCAGGGGAGGGCATGCATGCAGCCCGTGTCAGTAAAATAAGGAATGGTGTGAGGGATAGGGATCTTCTGTTACAGCAGTGGGGGGAAACAGAGAATCAAAGGAGAAGGGTGACTTCCTACTTTTCTTGGTAAAGCATGCCATGGTACCCGAGTCAAGAGGAAGAGTTACAGTGAGCAGAGTTACTGTGATAACACATATGTGCCTAAAACTCTCTTGACATTTAAGTGTACAGGATGTAATTGCTACTGAAAATGCATTTTTTGGGAGAGAAAAAAAAATAATCTGAAAATGATGCATGAACTGGAATTTCTGTTAAACCAAGTGTAAAAAATTGTGTTCTAGCTTTATATTTTGACAAGGTTCTCAGGAAGGTTAAAATGAAATCTGCTTGACATTTTTGGGTGCGATACGAATTTATAAAATTTGTGATTTATAAAAATGTGTGATTTATACCTGGGGATTTTATAAAATATATTGAAATCAGTATATCAGCTGAATTTTGCAATAGGAAAGTGTTTTCTTATTGTTCAGGATTCTACTTCCTGGGTCACAGCTTCATTAGCTAAGGACCAATAGCCATTGACTAGCAAAGTTGAAGGGCACTTACTGCTCAGCAGAGCTCCTTGCTGTAGTCTGCCCAGGATTCTCCCGAGACAGGAGTGGACGTGCCCGCATGGAGTGTGGGAGATGAGGGCTCTCAGGTACGCTGGTGCGTGCAGCCACGTCATCGGCATCGGGCAGGAGGATGCGCTGCAGCTCTGGGAGACACAATAGAGACTTTAAATCCATTCTGTTCCAGATTTAGCCACGCTTTGTCCTAAAGGGACAAAGATGAAGGGGATATGTATGATATTTTTGAGGGTTTTTTTCCCCCCTCTACCTGAATCTGAATCTGAGGGTCTAAGCACTGCAAGTTTTTAGTTTCACACATGAGTGTGATGGAAAATGAAAGCAAGCTCTGATAGCAAGAACTGCTTGCCCTGGAATTTGGTGTTTTATCTAGTAGGTTTTGGTCTGAGTGAACAAGGTGCAGGAGCTGAAGCTCTGCCCCATGAGAAGTGTGGTGGCTCCAGGAAGGGTGAACACAGTGCAAAATCGCTCCACTGCCCTGGCCACTTGGCCTCAGTTGTGGAGTCCAGTGCTGCTCTGCCTGTGTCAAACAAAAAAGCTGGTTATTGGGAGCCCATATGAAGAGTCAGGTGTGAAGTAGCACAGCTTAATTAACTTTTGTTTGTTCAGAGATTAATTACATCACCGCTCTGCCACACACACGTGTGCTGGATGGAATCTCCTGAGAGGCTTATCAGTTGGTGGGATGCTCCACACAGCCTTTGGAAAGAAGGGGTATCAGGAATGGGATGATTCGACCATGAAAGAAAGCAACAAGGCAGAAGCAGTTGAAATACTTTCATATACTTGTTCCACTGAGGAAAATGGGTTTTAATGGAATTTTCATTTCTCATTAAGCAGCCATTCCACACTACACTAAATTTTCTGTTCAATCAAAACTCCCAAATCAGATGTTGCAATAAGTCAATCAAGAAGCCATTACACAAAACACAGAAGTTAAGGATTCCTGACACTTGCTGGTTTCTCCTCTTCCCTGGCTAACCTTGCCCTGGACCTCCTTTCCAGCTGAGCACCTGGATTCTCTCACTTTGACAGTAACACCTTAGTGGCTGTTTTTGACTGTAGATGTCAATTACCAAGATTTAAAGCTGTTATGGGCAACCAAATGGCTTCATGTCTTCTCTGCCTGATCACCCACTGTCATCAAACTTTAGGAGCTCAGATCTCTTTGAGGTTTCTGCCTGGGTTGAATTTGGCTGAGAGTGGCAACAAAAGTTTTTCAGAGTGGCAATAAGGGGGATAAATTTGGGATGGACACCAAGAAATCAAATACAACCCATCACTGTGATCAGCAAAGAGTGGGCTGTTGAGTTTGGGGTGGGTTTTTTCAGCAACCTATATTTTTTCACAGGAAACTTTCCAAACAAAAAAAAAATAAAAAGGGAAAAAAAGATTTTAACAAACCAGCACAGGAAGGAGACTGATCTCCTTGGTGACTGTGTCCTTTGGGTGAGGTTCAGATTGATGGTCTCATTGGAGGCTAGACCAGGAGGGTTCCATTTCTCTATCTAAGGTCTCAGAGGCACAGCAGTGAGACTCCTTACCCCTCTCCAGGTCCTGAGACACACAGGGAACAGATAGATTCCTACTCCTTGCATATCTTACTGGCACAGTGAATGAATACACTGTTTGGGCCCAATCCTTCTGTAGGCTACTGCTGCAGCTGAAACAGTAAAAATAGCAGTGAGGGACATTAGAGTGGTGCAGGAGGATGAAGGGCTATGGGATACAATTGTCTATGGCAAGGGGTCTTCTGAAGATAAGCTTGTTGATGTTCTGGTCCAAGTATTTCTCTGTTCTTCAAAGATAATTAAAAGCTCTGCCCTCCCTGCCTCACTGTGAGGCGTTTGCCATTTGAATATGAATGCCTGCATGTAGGAAGCCTGGAGGATGTCTTGTGTTTTTCACTTCGTGTTTAATCAGCCCAAGACTTGGTAGGCTCTGGTCCCCTTGCCTTGCTGGAGATTGTGGCACTGTCATATTGAATGAAGGCCTAGACTGGCAAAGTGCTCTGTATATCTGGGGGGAGATGGACTAACAAAGCAAGAAAAATAGAGCAAAATAATTTGTATTTGCTCTGGTTGAAGATACAGACCTGTTGCAGAGATCTATGCCACTTTCCCCCAGTAAAGAAATAAAGGGGAGGAAAAAGGGTCTCTGCTACAAGCAGACAAAACTGAGGGGCATAGGGTAGAGCTCTTGGCTATGTGAGGTATTTGCCAGAGCAAACACATACAGTGGCTGCTGTACCCCCTCTCCATCCTGTACCACACCTCCCTCAGCCTCAGAAGCAGTTCTGGACAAGGTGACAAGGGTGAATGCCCTCACATCCAGAGCATATGCTGGGTCCATCTCTGGGGCAGCTGACTTTGGGGTTCACCTACAGCCTCCTACCTCTCCTTCACAAAGAGTTGTTCAAGAAGCTGTCTGACTCCCTTTGGGTGGAACATTAGTATAGTCAATGTTATCAAAACATTTGGATTTCAACAATACTGTCTTCTAACAGATGCACTAGATAATTTTCTTTATTGAACTTGGAGAGGCTTCCACCAGAAGTGATTCAGTGACTGAAGGGATGAAAGCAGCACAACAATGCATCAGCATCCATCCCCAGAGATCTGCTTCTCTAATGCAGTCAAACCAAATGTGCTGAAGGGGCAGAGCTCTAAGGTGTACAATGATTGTGAAAGTGTCTTTTCTCTCCCAGAGGGGAAAATCTCTCTAAGAGTGGCCCCTCTCCTGCTTTAATCTGTATCATTTGGGACTGTTTCTTCATACACAAGAAATTGAATTTACTTTATTAAAAAACAATTCAGGGGCCATGTTTTCATTTTAGGTATTGAATGCATGTAGCACACAAAATTCTTCTAGCTATTCTTGTGCATATAACATATTCAGCTTGGATATTTCAGGTATGTGAAAATTTAAACTGCAGATAGTCGGAAATAAAGAGAATGAATAAATAATAGTGTGTAATCCAAAAGACCTGATTCCTGGCAGGAGTCCTTAGGGTATAATGTGAAATGAATTGGAGAGCAGATATTGTGCTCTAGTGCTTAAAAAGGTGCCAGGGAACAGATGTCTGTCTTGGTCCTGGAGCACAAGGCAGAAGAAGAGAAAGCTATTATTAAAGCCTGTCTGTAAAGCAGAGTTCAGGATCGTGGTTTTGATACTGTACATGCTGTGCTGTAACTGGGCAGCAGAAGGATGTTGTTAGCAGGAATAAAACACAAGCCAGGATTCCAGTTGCTTTGGGGGTTTTTTGTCTGAAATTTCTGCCAGTAAGAGCAGTCAAAATTCAGCACTTGTCCTTCCTTTATTTTATTATTATTATTGTAGTTATTACTAAACTCTTCCACTTTTATTTGCTTTTTTATAGGGGCTTTTCTCAGCATGCAGTTGCTTTAGATTTGGGCGTGATCACCAGCCACATCCTCCGCATTGGACATTCAGCTTCTCTTTCCAAACCTTCTTCCTGCTTGTAAGTGTTTTATTCTTTCTCCTTGCTCATTTTTCTTTTACTTTTAAAGACCAGATTTAACTCATGGGTTCTGGGACTGATCCCAGGTCACGATGTCTTTGATTTACATTGATATAAATGACTCTATAATCCACAGATCCATGGGAAATGTAAATTAGAGAATCATTGGAGACCATCTGAATTAATCTGAGTATCCTAATGGCTCAGAGCGTTTCCTTTTTCCAGCCCCACACAAACCCCCAAACAAAATATAACTTGATTTTAATCTGCAACCACACCATCTGGGTACTTGTCATCTTGGATTTTCAAAGACATAAATTTATATAATATTAAATCATAATAAAAAATGAAATTAGATCATAAATTAAAAGGAAAACTTTGCTTGTGGCAGGAAATAGTTTTTCTTCTCCTGACTCCTTTATCGAGTCAGTTGGCAATTGATCCTGTTTCCCAGGCAGAGTGGAAAAGGGATTCTCTGCTCCTGGAAGGTCTATCTGTAATGGGAAAAAGAAGCATGCTACTTACTTGTGGTCTTTTAATTGCCAAAGGCATGGATCTAAGAAGAAGTATTAAGGAACATATTCTTGGTAAACCCCAAGCTAGAAGTCGTTTTTTTGCCTTTCCTACCTACATTTTCAATGAAATAAAATGTTGCTCACATATTTTTTCCTGCCTAGGGCTACTGTCTTATTTAGTTGCATGATATTAAACTGCTACAATTTTCCAGTCTAGAGCATTTTGCCTTTCAAAGCTGAAGCATTCCTGGTACGTAAAACTCATTCAGTCCTTTAGCATGAGCATGTAAACATATTTTTATTGGCATTAAGTGTTTTGTGTTACATGTTTGCTGGAAGGGCAATATTGGTAATATAGGAAGGAAATAAGTGTAGAAAACGAAGGTGGTGAGGGGGAAGATGAAAGAATTAAACCAGGAACTCCCTGGCCTTCATACATATATCAATCTAGTGAAAACTTGCTGCCAGCTTTTGGAACCAATCAGTATGACAGCAGAACTTGGGAGGGGGGCAACACATCTTCAGGGATGAGATGAGTAAGTCTTATCTTAGAACTGGCATCACCATATTGCCTGGGAAGGTGCACAATCTCCCTCCTGCTCTTCCTGCCCTGTTACAGCATATTGAAGTTTGGCCAGACGAGGGACCTCTCAGTTGTAACTATGTTAAAGGCAAATTAAGATCTCATCTGTTAGGAGATGTTTACAATAAGGGCTTTCTAGGATACCTTCTACCTGTAAAGAAACAGTTCATAGGAGATTGTGACAAAAGTGTTAATTTATGTAATGTACAAACACTGATTTTCCTTGATGTCAATTTGTCTCTCTGCTTAAACAGTTTGAAGGCACTGAAACAGCCAAGGTATTTCTCAGCTTGTAGTCACAAAAAATACAGGAAGAACCAAGAAAACAAAGTGCTGGCGGAATAGGAGTGGTTGTCTTCACCTGTGAAAGGTGTTTATACCAAGGACATGAATGAAGAAATAATGCACAGCTGAGAGAATATACCAAAGTAGTGGCTCTGGTTGAAAAGCCAGGATGTACAAATGACATTGTGTATCTAGGAGCGCATTTCCTTTTGTGCCAACCCTCATGTTTGAGGATCACAGTAGCAGAACAAAGTTTTGCTCTTTTCTACATCTAAAACCAGCTGAATGTGGAGGCAGAGTCTGTGCCTTCTTAGACTAGCAAATTGTTTTACAGAAATGTGTGAACCTTCTAGGCAGATTGCCCAGCAGAGCAGCAAGGCTTTGTAACAATGGAGGAATAGCTGCAGGAAGACATCCATAGTCAGAAAGGCAGAGTATGATCTGGGGCTTTCAGCAGCGAGGCTGGACTGGAGGACTCAGGGAGCCTCCTCAAGCCCTGTCCTGGCATTGCAGAGGTGCCTCTGACAAAGTAATCCAGATCCCACTACACCACGAAATCTGAGTCCCCCAGCAGACAGGTGCCAGTTCTGCTGTCCCAGGAGTTTTCAAGAGTGGTTAATTGGAAAGCCAGCTCCTGTTAGACAGAGTTCTCCATCTGCAGTCATTCAGGAACAATACTTGCAATTCATTCTTTGCCTTAAAATAATTCAGCTTTCCAAAAACAGATGAGGGAGAGGCAGGGACCACTACAGAATGTGAAAGCTTTACCTCCGTTGTTCATTTCCTGGGTCAGTTTACAGCTCTCAGAAAGACAACAGATTCATTGCAGTTTATCAGCTTTGCCATTATACTTGGAAGTCAGTGGCAAAATTCCCAATCATTTTTTGGGACTAGGTTTGGGCTAAATGTTATGATACTGTATTTAGTTTTCAGAAATTAAAAAAAAAATAAAATAAAATTACCTCTCAAGAAGGTGAAGTTGCCATCTGATTCTCTGGGGGTTATTTCTTCAGGAGGGTCAGGGTAAGAGAGACAAGCAGTTCATGGCACTTACCTTCTCCCAGCAGAAGCAGGAACCTGAGCTGAAGTGGTTGCTGTGGTGCTCTGAATAAAGCTACTCGTGGCTTCATTTGGAATCAGAGTCAACAGTGTCTCTGATCTATACTGCAAAATGCTCATTAAAAATAGCCTGGGTGATGTTGTAAGACCTGTAAGAGATCTGATTTAGCAAAACACTCACATCTCTGCTTAACTGAGGTCCTGAATAGTTCTATTTATACCATAAATTTTCCACTAACTTCAAAAAAATTCCCAAAATTGCCAAAGTTATTCCTCATACCAGGGTCAAGTGCTAGTAGTAAAAGCAGAATGTAGCAGATTTCAAATTTGTGAAAAATTTAAAGGCTTTCAACTTCTGCCATGTTAAAGAATTCATGTGAATTAATTCCTTAAGTTATCATAGAGCAATTCAATTAATAATGGATCTGATTTTCATTATGACAAGTAATTAAGAATAAACATCTTCTGTATCAAAGCCTATATTTTAGAAAGGATAAATTAGCTATAACACATTTAACTATTTCCAGAACATGAAATGAACGCATATTGTTCCATTAGTTAATTTTATATCACTAAATTAAGGACAGTTCAAAAGGAGTATAATCTCATAAGGTTCTCTCTTTGTTCAGTCTGTTGTGACTTATTTCACAAGGTACAACAAATATGGTTTCCTGTGGGGCTAAACACTATTAGGGTTACTAAACTAAAAATGGTTTTAGTTTAGTATATCTTATGCGTCACTATGAGTTATATACCACCACGGTAGGAATATTTTTATCTGGTATTTGCGGATGCAGTTTTGTACTCCTGCGTATCTTGCAGGCTATTGGGATGTTTAACACCACTAAAAGCTCCACTATAAAACAACAGACACACTAAATAAACAATAAAACAACATCTGGAATGTAACCTTTGGTCCAAAGCCCTTAGATAGTCCTCTCATGCTTGCTGGGCTGGCAGGGCTGCCCATTGCTTGGGATTTTGCTTGTAGGTGTCAGAAGCTGTATCACTCCACTGAAACACATCTGCCATTGAGATCTCCATGGCAGAATTACAAGAAGGTACATTTTGACATTTGAAACCATTCAAAACACTTCATAAATACACAGTAAGAAAGCAAGTCTGGCAGATTTTCTAATTCTGGGTACCTCTGGCAAGACACTGTGGAGTAAGTAGCTAATGGATTCATCATCAACATGATGTTGAGTGGCTTTGCTCATCTAGGTTGAGGAGCTGAATTTTTGAGAGTGGGTTTCATTACTTGATTAGATTTTTCATCACAAGATAAAAATTCCAGTGGATTCCAATACCTCTGTCCCATATAAAGTACATTTTTGATTGTGCTGTTCTGCAATTAAACAAGCCATGGTTGGGAAGAGACAATTTTAATCTATTAGGATTCAGTAGGATTTCTCCTAATCCCTGCATTTTGGAAAATTGAGATATAAAGGTAATTGCCAGCTAATCCTTTAAGAATTGCATCTTTGAGCTAAGAAATGTAACTCTTAAGACCTAAATTATATCAGGTGCACATTATCTGCTAATAAATTAACCTTACTTTTTTTTTCCCCCCCCTTGTAGTTATGAAGAATAAAATCTTAAATTGTCCTGGGCTCGAGCAGTAAAGGATAAATTCATTCACTGGCTGACTTGTCATCTCACCATTGTGATGGAAAAATGCTCCCTTAAAATAAACCCTTTTTATGCCACTAAAACTGCCTTTGAATACAAGATCTGTTGCGATTTTTAAAACACAAACCCAATAATGTCAGAACCCGACCCTTCGTCTGGATTTGTGGGAAACATGGAAAATGGGACTTTCCTGGAGCTGTATCCCACATCCCTTTCAACTTCAGTGGATTCATCTCCTGGCCGTTTATCCAACGTCTATGTCTATGTTTCTATATTCCTTAGTCTCTTAGCTTTTCTCCTTTTGCTACTCATCATTGCACTTCAGAGGCTGAAAAACATAATTTCCTCCAGTTCCTCCTACCCGGAATACAATAGTGACGCTGGAAGCTCGTTCACTAATTTAGAGGTTTGTAGTATTTCTTCCCAGCGCTCTGCTCTCTCAAACCTTTCTTCATGAAAATAAATGAAAGGAAACACACAGGGAATGGAAGAGCTTTGTCTAGCTTCTTGGAGAAGTAGTGCATGTAACATTTGCCTTAGAAGACTACTATCAAGAGGTGTTTTTAAAAGTTTCCTTGTTTTTTTCCCCTTTAACTAATTTTCATTTTGGACAATGGATAATGATACCTGATCATCATTTCTTGCCTGTAATAGTGATGCTGTCTCTTTCTCACACATAGACGGTGTTCATTAAGAGTATTCCTGCCATATTGTAATACTGTTCTAACTGGATGTGTCATTTCTCTGCTCTAATTGTGACCCCTTCCCTGGTCTTGTGTCAGCAATATGCTGACTATTTTTCTTTTCCTTTTTTAATTATATAAGGACTTCTGGATGAAATCCCTATTGCTAAAGTACAAAAAATTCTGCTTAAATTATAAATATTGGGACAATTAAAAGTTGTTGATTATTTCCTTTCTTACTTTTTAATTTTCACATATTTTTCAGTATTTATTGATGTTTATAAAACACAACTAATTCTTGAAGAACATTGTTTTTGTTTATTTGTACTCCTGTCTTGTTCTGTATGAAGTCTGTATTTCAGTTTTTGAGTCTCTTTGGTTAACTTAGTAAAGCGACTACAATAACAATGCTCATGGTTGAAGGTGTGGAGGTATTTTTGCAGTTGCATCTCATTATCTCATTTGCCTAATGACATGTTCCTCCAGGGGGCAGCTTTTGCTGCTGAATCATAAATACCACACAACTCCTTCTCATTGTTCACTGATACTGCAGCTTATTCTCACTGGATACCAGGACAATCCAGTGGTTTCTTGTAAAAGACCTGCATTCAACAAATACAGGTAGCAAATGAAGGGCTCCTAAACTGTCCTTTAGGCACATGAAGTTTGTACTCAGGTGGGCAGGGCCAGCAGGGACAGAAATTGCTTGTACTGGTGAGGACATCCTGGGCCAGGCTTTGTCCTGTGGTTTCAGAAATGCACAGTGGATGGAGTGGGATACACAGGGATCTGTACAAGGGCCAGGAGACCTGTGCTCTGACCTGCAGGAAGTGCAAGGTGTACCTGCAGAGGGTAGGAGGGAATGGGCAGGAAAAATGGCAGCAGCTCTGCCACCCTTCCCCACCAGCATAAGGAAAGGCCAAGTGAGAGGGGAAGAGAAATGGATTCACAATCTCACTCCTCTTTGCCATGCCATTTTCTGGGTTATCCTTTCCCCTGCTCAAAATGTAACATGTCACTCAATTTCTGCAGTAAAATAATAAGCAGCTTTGTGAACTGGGTCCTGTGGTCAGCTGGGTTTTAAACCAAGCCAAATATTCAAATTAGTGAAATGCCAAGTGTGACCTAATAGAACTGCAACCCCAGACTGGTGCAATGCCTTGTTGTCCTTACTGCACTGTGTGAGCACAGCTCTGTCCTGCCACCCAAGCCCATGCAAATTTTGCTCTCATGGCTGGATCCAAGTCACTGGAGAGACCTAAGAAATGGCATTGTCACTGCCATTTGTGTTATTGACGTAACACAGGCGTAACTCGGAGATGGGATGATCTCAGCAGCAGCAGCTGCCCTCCCCCACATGGCACCACTGCCCAGCAGGCCAAGGGGTTAAGGAACACTTCCCAAACACATTTACACCTCTTGCCAAGCTGTCCATGCACTCATAAACAAGATAGACTCTGCCATTAACTACACAGGCTTTAAAATACAAATTTGGAAAATTGGAAAGTCTGGTGTAAATATCATCATTAGAAATGCAGCTGCTGTTGCTAAATAATACAGATGATGCTGGAGTCGGTATTCTCAATTTTTAAAAGCGGACATGTTGTATGGTAAGTGGGAATGACTTATGGTGGTCATTAGTTCCTTACAGAGGCCAAAGGACTTGCTGACTAATAATGAATGTAAGCCTGCAGATTCCGTGAGCCAAATTTATTTGATGAACATATTTACAGCTTGGAATATTTTATTCGTCTAGACAAAAGTTTCTTGCATGTCACTTTTCACTGTATTTGATGATTGGCCTTGAAAAAAGAGGGAGCTGTTTAAAAGGGATCAGGAAACATCATTTCCCTTCTGAAAGCTCTTTGAAATCCTAAACCTGTAACAGAATGTATTCAATGTATGTTGACTGGTAGAAATAAATGAGCTGTAAATCAAGACAGAGCAACTGTTTGACTATCTTCCCTCACTGACAAAGTTGTAAATTTGTTGCTTCCTTTGCTGCAAATGGAGGAATTTAATCAAAAGAGGAGATGAGATCACAGGTTGAGATGAGTGTTTGTTCTCAGCAATGTGTTTATACTTGCAGATATAGAGACATTTAATATTAAAATACAAACAGTTGAAACCCCATCAACTGTGTTCGGTCACCTGTTCTCAAACTTCATCAGAACAGAAAGTATTTTTCTGACTGCAGAAAACAGCAAAGATAACTGAAAGCACACATTTGATTTTGCTTTGTAGTTTACTAGATGCTATTAATTTTTTTCTACTCTGCGGTGACATACGGGATGGTATAGTCATCACGATTTCAGCTGAGTTGCATCTGTTCTCTTCAGGACAGATTTGAATAGAAACAAGTAGGTTCCAACAAAATTGCATCAGGAGAAGCCACAGGCGAAAAGCACAATGGCATTTTTGAGGATTGCTAAGTACCAGTTCTTCAAGGGAAAAAAAATAAAAGAGGAAGAAAAGAAGTCCACCTGAGAATGTGAGCCTGAGTTAACCTGAGAACACTGGAACAGGCTTCCTAGAGAGGTAGTGGATACCCCAAGCCTGTCGGTGTTTAAAAGGCTCTTGAACAATGCCCTTACCAACATGCTTTAGCTTTTGGTCAGCCCCTGAATGGTCAGACAGTTGGACTAGATGATCACTGCAAGTACCTTCCAGCTGCAAATATTCTACTATTCTGTTCCAGCTAGAGTTGCAGGGATATTTTTTGCAGTGTCCAGTTCTGGGCTCCCCAGTAGAAGAGAGAGAGAGGGAGATGTGGAGATACCACACCAAGCCTAGCTCAGGGCTGCTAAGATGATTAAGGGATTGGAGCATCTCTCACATGAGACAGTTTAGCCTATAGAAGGCTCTGAAGCATCTCATCAATGAATATAAATATCTTCTAGGAAGGAAGAAGAAGAGGGAGCCAGGGCCTTTGCAGTGTTGCCCACAACAAGACAAGAAGCTGAAACACATGAAATTCCACAAGAAAATGTATTATTGAGAGGGTAGTCAAACACTGGCATAGGTTGTCCAGAGAGTCTGTGGTGCTTCCATGTGTTGACCTGCCTGTATCTGACCCTGTTTGGGCAAAAGCATCAGACAATCCTCAGGCAGCCCCCTTCAGGTCAGTGCAAAACCTCAAGAGGCTTTGGCTCGCTGCCTCCTCCTGATGTGTTTTCTCATCCCTGGAGCTGAGTAAGCAATACCTTTACCCGGATTAATTAGTTCACTAATTTGTTGCTGAAGAGCTGCTCGGCTCCCCCTCCTCCCTGCAGCCACATGCTTTTCCAGCTTTTCCACTGCCTTTTTGTGGAATGGGTTCACATTTCACAGTCAGCTTTTTTCCTGAGCCGTTTTTGGTTGTTACTGAGTCCTCTAATTCAAACGCCACCATTAACTTTGTTAAGATATGATTCCAAGACTGCATGGCATCAGGTAGCTGCAAAGTATACCTGGAAATCTATAGAAAAAAAAAATTAATAAAACATGGATGAGGAAAGAACTGAGGGAGTTTCTAGAACACATAGAAAAATTATTTTGCTTTAGTTCAACAAATATAATCCATTCAAGCATATTTAATTAGAGTACCTGCTGAAATCTGTAGCAGCCTCGCTATTTAAGACTCTCTTGCACTGTTCTTCACCTTAACACTACTAATGGGTTAGTCATGTTTACCTGCCCTGCAAATTACCACATTATTCCCATCCTGAAACAATCTCATGCTTTTCACTCAGCAACTGTTCAGCTCTGTGGAGTTTATTCCACTGAAATTATTTTCTGTGTTCAGCACTTCTCTGCCAGCTCACCTGAAAGGTTTGTCTCTGTAAGCTTAAGTCTTGTCTGGAATTCCAACAAAAGTCTTTTAACGTGGGAGCAAGCCTTAGTCCTCTTCTGTGCAGCTTGTTTGCCTTCCCCCCCACAGTCTAGCCCCACGGTGCTCCGGCAAGGCTGAATCCCCAAGGAAAATCCTATTCCACTGTACTTGAGCTTTCTTCCTTCAGTGTTTTTTTATTTTTTTTTCGGTGAGAGCCTAGCAAAGACGTCTGCGTGGGAAGATTATTGACGAGGTCCATGTACCTCCCATTCTTCTTGCCAGGCCTGTTTTCGCTGCTTCTGCTGCGGCTGTCCAAGGAGACCGTGTGAATCGCAGCCCGGCTTGGTGACCTTTCCTCCTCCGCAGGCTCCCAAAGACAAGGGCCCCGCTCTGTGGCTACAGCGGAGGATTACATGCCCCGAATGCAAGGCGCAAAAGTAGCCTGCAGGAGCCTCTTTTTTTCTTCTCTCCAAGAAAAGTGGGCTTGCTCCTGGCTGGAGCATCCCTCAAGGTGCTTTGCACTCGGTGATGCCGCGCAGTTTGATGTGCCAGCGGGACCCGCCTGCGGCCGCAGCCCTCTGCTCGCACCGCAGCGCTCCTGGCTCGCTCACACCGCCCGAATGGGCAGCCCCAACTGTCCGAGCTCACTTTCCTGATGCCAGATTCATCTGGTGTTTTCCCGGCTCCTCCCAGCACTGTGCTTCGGAGATAAAAGCAGCATCAACCTCCTGTGTATCCGCTCGCAAGGGCAGGTGAGCCCATTGGGGAAATCCCGATAACCACCGTGCAGGTGACAGCGAGGTGCGGTGAGCTGCTCTTCACTTCTGTTTTCTTTGGTTTTGATCAATGGGAGCTGATCACCCACTCTAAGTCTGTGTGGCTCGTAGGCTATCAATGTGTTCCGAAGTATAGAATCTCCAGGTGCCTTCTGAAAATTGGACTGGCTCCTTTGCATAGTTTCACTTCACCTTCTGTCCTATATAGACAGCAGCATTTGTTCCATCTGTCTGCATTTGGCTGCATTTGTTCCAGCACCAAAAGATGCAGTTTTAATGCAATATACATCCTTGAACAGCTTCAGTTGAAAAATCAGGAGCAGAAAAGCAAACTTTTTAAAAGCATAATCTAATGTATAGTTTTTTACAAACAAACTTAGAATTTTTCCTTTGTAAATTTATATTTTTTGCCAAAATACCTATTTCTAAAGAGAAAAGCTATATGATTGAATTGTTTAAAATGGAGCATTTTATGCCAGCTGTGATGACATAATTATTTTTTCCCACAGATTTTTCTAGCTAAGACATTCTACTATGTAAGGGGACCAAAAAATTATTCAATTATTTCTCTCCTCAATAAACAAGTGTAGGTGTCTGTCAGGGTACTTTTGCCACATATATTTACTTATGAAGCTGCACTTCTAACACTGAATGCTGATCTGGTCATGTAGACCTGGTCCCAGAGTACAGTTACATCTCACTTTTTTGTTTGTTTGTTATAGAGTATTATTGGTTATGTATAAGATGGAGACTAAGCTTCTAGTAAATGAATTGTGCCTTCCTTCAGCACAGGGATCAGTTTGTCAATTGTTTTAGAATATTAGCCA